AGTTCGCATATCTAATACTAACATAGAAGTTGTTCTCTGTTATAGAAATTAAACATGGAGAAACGTTTTTCCTTAATCCAGTCGAAATTCAAACATTTATAAGCCAATATCTACGAAGATACTTCTGCATCTAGTAACCACAAAGAGTATCCATCATCAATCTGTGAGATTTCAAAGACTTGACTAGAGTAAAAGAAGAAATTTAAAAAGACACTGACATGAATCCCGCAAAGTTCGAGGTGTTTAGATGACTCTGTATAGTTTGGTGAAGAATACTGGAACGCGAATTAAAGAATATAAATAGTCATTGGACCGACCTCATTACTTATATCTAGAATGATTCACTTTTCCTATCTAATTCAATTTAAATTGTTGCGGAGGTTCTATGCTCTACCTAGGAGGACAGAAATATTCCAAAATTACTATTTATACTATTTATATAGTCTGATATTTTCTATGTTTAATTAATTTACTTTAATTAATCATGTTGATGACTTTTCTACATATGTTATATTATAAAAGCAATCATTCTTATATATTTTTTCTAGGTTCAAATGACACTTTTTTACTTATTTTTCATATATACTGGTATTTCGTGAACAATATCATCCTTTGTAATAACTTTTGGGTTACTTATTTAGTCTCTCAAGGCATTTAAGCGTGCCAATAAACAAACATGCCGTTGTTTTATGTACTGCTTTTGAATAAAACAAAACTACATGCCAAAGTTCATAATAAAATGGTAGATTTAACAAACAGCATTTTCATTTTTACTCTCAAAGGATTTTATTTTTTCATATACTTCCTTTACTTCCTCAACATGCAATTATTTTTTTTCTTCATAATTTTTTGTAACTTTATTTGTCTATATTTGGCAAAAGCTTGTATTTTATTATGCTTTTGGTTGCCAAAAATAAAATGCGAAAAATTTAGTGAAAAAATGTACACAAAAATATACAAAACGAAACGGGAACTTTATTATAGCATACATTTAGGCACCTAAACGAATTGTAAGTATGCACGTAAGCGCTATTTAGGGAGCACAAAAATTAAAAGGCACCAAACACAAGCGGCAACATGTAAACTGGCACTGCAATCATTTGTTTATTTGCATGCCGTTGCTCAAGGAGTTGTACAACTGAAAAGTATTAAGTTTGCACAAGCGTATAAATATGAGCAGGGCTACGCACAAATGAAACTCAAAATTATAATAAATGCAACAGCAGCAGAGCAAAGAGTGCAATAAAACCGAAACTAACATTTCTTAATGTGCTACAAAATGCACTTTGTATGCAACAAACCGTTGACTAAAAGCGAAAAGTACACAAATAAAAAAACTACAACATACTTTCTGGCTCCATAGCGTGAGAAAAGTAACTATGAGTTTCATATGCGTCTCTTTAAGCACACACCATAAAGCAAAAGTAAACTTAAAATGCAGTTATCTACAAAAAAGTATAGTTTAAATTTAAACTCCTCTTACGCCTAAAATTACGCGATACATTTTCTGCTTTAAGCTCGAAGCTTCTACGTTGACTCATTGCTATGCAAAAAACACAAGTGTTACATAACTCAACCTCAACTTTTTTGTATAATTTATGAGTTTCGGTACGCATTTGTTAACAAAATGTTAAAAATAATATTGTAATATTGTAATATTGTAATCTGGCAGCGTCTGTAGCGAGCACAAACAATAACCTGAAAGTATGCAGTGATATTTTTACAACAAAGTAACCAACTCATTAATATTAAACTGGCTGCGTGTTGTGTTCTGCATAATTTTTCTCAGATTAAGTCTATGGCAACCATGAACCTAACTTTTTTCACTTTGTGTTTCTTAGATAAACAAAAAATGAAGTAAAATTTGTAAAATACAAAAAATGAAAATATATTTAATAAAAATATATTTAAGTCAAATTGTATGCTAATATTTTAAGTACAATAACAGTTTTTGCATAGTCTTCGTTTGCAATTCTGGTCGCCTACATTTTCGCAGAAGGCGCGTGTTTTGCTTCTGTTAAACAAAAATACAAAAATATTTCACACCTCAATTTTTCTTCTTCTTGTGCTGAAGCTTTAGGTTCATGAACTTTAAGGATTAGATTTCAGTTAATTAGAACGCCAAAATGTGTGCACAATAAAAGATTTTGTCATTTACGAGAGCTCATTTGACATCAAGGATTTTGAACTTTTACAATAATTATTATTAATACTTTAATTTGAATGTTAATTATAATCTAAAGGTGTGTTATTAAATTTGATTTTAACGTCAACATGGCCGTAGTGACTATTTTACTTAATAGAAACTGATCTATTTAACAGAGAGGTGTGTTATAAAGTTAAAATATAAAAAATCATGTTTTTAATTTATATGGGTTTTAAATAAGTCGATCTAATAGTGTTAAGTGTTAAGTGATCTTATAGATCTCAATTATTTTAGCAGATTTAATTAATCTAATATCTTTTAATCTATATCGTATGTGGTTTTATTCTGACTGCAAATCATTATTTGTAGATTTCAGAAGACAACACACTCAGTAGATCTGAATTTTCTTCTTTCATATAGTACACAAATATATTTAAGCAACTCAAGCTTTGGTTATAGAAGGCTTTTTGCTATAAATTATTACGTTCCTACTTATTTGAGTAAAGAAGAAGTTGTCTTGGTGTTCTATATCCAATAAAATAATAATATTTTTGACTAGAGTTAGCGTGATGAATGAACAAATATCTTATATTAAATAGTAGATGCAGTAGTGCTTTCTAGATGTGTTTAGAAAAAGATGCGGAAAATATCATAGACCAATACCAGTGGCAAATGGGAAATCATCGATTGATGAATGCTTCAGACTTTACTATATCTGGGAGATTAATGAAGTATTTCACTGTCTCGTGAATGATTTCGAGCCTATACGAAATTCGGCTCTCTTCAGAAAGAATTTAGTACCATATCATACAATACCTGCTCAAAGCAAAAGACTGGTATATGACATGAATAACAAAGACTAACGCAAAGGTATTCATAAAAGAACAGACATTAAATTAGGGATTGAAGAAAGATTCATAAAAGAACAAATGTTAAGATAGGGATTAAAGAAAGATCTTACAAATAAGTTAAAAAGACAGGTACACTTCTCTAAGAATATAAATTAATACATTTGCAGATTATCGGTCAATATCGGAAAAAAATATAAAAGGAGTATTGACGAACAAATTGAAAAAAGGAAAAGAAAAAAAGAAGAAGCTAAATAGAATAGACTAAAATGTATATATAATTTAATGACTAACATTGTTTGTTTGTAAGGAGAGTGTTAAATTAATGAAAGCTTTTATGATATTCCAACTTAAATATCTTTACAGTTTCTTTTCTGTCCAGAATGCAATTTGATTGATCAGATTTTTATTTTCACAGTATAAATAATTTTTAATAAAATATTTTATAACAATGTTAAGTTCGGAACAGGACTTACATTATGAATGCCATCCATCAAACTGATTAAACTGATTAAAAATTATTTCTTCACAATACAAACAATATTTTCCCTAAGGACTTGCGCGATATAAGTCAAAAATATAACAGAAATGCAGAGAAAAATTTCCCAATTAAATGGATTGCATGCGAGGATACAATGCAGTATGTAGAGGAATTTCCAATTATGAGTCGAATTTAATATTAATTAATGCCCCTCATTAACACTTCAAACTCGCCTTAATTGAATACCAACGCGAAGCTTGAAAATGAAAAATTTACTTAAGTGCTTAAATCAATAAGAGCGTGTAATGTGTTTACACAAAACACGCACGTTTGCAAATAAATATGCTATAGTATACAACATATACAGGGTACTCCCCAACTGACAGCTCAAATTTGAAGGACGAAATATACTGTTGAATACATACATAAACAATATATATACACAGAATGGAATGTCTTCTAACAGTGATATTTATTTTAGTGCAAACATACAAAGGATCTCTACTAACTGACAATACAAATTTGATAGAAAGATCGAAATATATTATAGTATAGATAAAAGTCAGTACAGAAATTTTATAGAGAATAGATATATAAATTTCAGCTTCAAATCTTCGAACTATTCAAAGCCTCAAGGATTTTGATATTTAAATGTATTGTGTACATTTTATATGGATTCTCGGTGACTGTAGTTTCGCAGATAATGAATTAACTAATAGTATAGCCAATAAATGTTCAACTAGCACAATTTGAGGTTGTCTGATATAACAAAATATGAAGTACCAAAAGGATTTATAAAAGAAGCTCATAAAAATCTGATTTAATTTGTTCTGCAAGCATAGATAATGGACTTCAAAGTACTGTGGAATTTTTACAAGTTTAAATGGAAACTAATAAGGTACTTAAAAGTTTTGTAAAAGAAGCTAACAAGAAACTTATTAAATGATTCCTGCAATCAAGGAAAACAGACTTCAATGAACATATCTTTACAAGGCATAACAGAGCTGGTATCATCACAGTTATATGTAGTTCCAACATCTATCATTCATATCTCAAGGAAAACAGACTTTAATGAATATATCGGAATCTTTACAAGGCAAAACATAGCTGATAAATACATGGCCACTGTAGGTATCATCACAATTACACATAGTTCCAATATCTGTCAATCATATATCAAGGATGTGAACAGCAGAAAGCTCACCATTTTTTATGGCTTAGCATATGCAGAACTAAATTGAGATTATTGAGGCTTGACATTCTGATAATGAAATTTAGTAGGTTCTTCTGTTTTAAATAATAATAATTTCTATTGAGTTCGGACGAAATTCTCAACTAACTTAGTGTCCTGGCATTATGCTTAAATTCATCAAAAGAAAAATGCTTGATAGGTAGCCCACATCAAATGACAATTATATGAATATAAGTAACATTGGTATTAATATATATTATTGATATTAACATAAATTTAAAATGTAAAACAAGTTAAAAAATAATAATATTTAATATTTTTAAGATTTAATATTTTTAAACTAAGACGAAGCTTAAGGTATTTATATGATTGATTCTGAAATATTTTGACTGATGTATTATTTTTAAAATAGACTTTTCTATAAAATAGACTCAAGGGGATAGAATAGACTCAAGTAGAATAAAATGGACTTATCTTTGGTAAATATTTTGAATCTATTTCCCTCTTAGTTGGATGCTCGCTATTGATTTGTTCGGCTCTTTAACTAAAGATTCACTTACAAATTTTATCATTATTATTTTTAAAATAGACTTTTCTGTGGAATAGACTCAAGGGAATAGAACAGACTCAAGTAGAATAGAATGGACTTTTCTTTGGTAAATATTCTGACTATGCATTCTCCACTTAATTGGATGCTCGCTATTGATTTATTCGGCTTTTTAACTAAAGATTCACTTACTAATTTTATCATTATTATTTTTATAATAGACTTTTCTATAGAATAGACTCAAAGGGATAGAACAGACTCAAGTAGAATAGAATGGACTTTTCTTTGGTAAATATTCTGACTCTGTATTCTCCACTTAATTGGATGCTCGCTATTGATTTGTTTGGCTTTTTAACTGAAGATTTTTATCAAACTTTATTTGAAAAACACCCTGTAAATATATGTATTTGCATATCTGGTATATAAATTTTTATATGTACTTTTTTTAATTAAATAGTGAAATACATGAAAGTAGAATTAGTGATGAATGAGCGCATTTAACACTTTTTAATACTGGATTAACCTACCTTTTTTTTTGAAAATAAATGCAAAAATGGTTGTAGTTTTAGCAGCAGTAGCAGCACTTAGTAGGTGCTGTTGTTGTTGTTGCTATTGTAATCGTCAAGTTCCGCAGCCGAATAGCAGTTGAACGAAGTAGATGATAGTTTGTAGAAATAGAAGTCTGTTTGTTAGCTGGTGGCGAAGGGAGTAAGGATGAATGAAGAATGGAGATCACTTGTCACAAATTACTTTTGCTTGAGTGTTGTGTAAATTTACACAATTCAATTGCACTTTATCATTTTCAATTTGCGCAATAGACTTAAGCAGCTGCACAACTGCTGTAAGCGCGCAAACACACTAACGAACGTTGGGCGACGGGCTAGGAGCAAGGAGCCAGCAGCGAAGAGCGACGAACAACGGATCATAGACAACTGCACACACACTCACACGCAAGCAGCTGTTAAACACTAAAAGTATGCAATTGATTTTTGCATGAAAATGCACTTATTTTAGCTTTATTTGCACTTGCACAGCAGACGTTGGCTGGCGTTTGTCAGTTGATTGCAATTTTGCACAATTTGAAGTGATTTTATGTTTTAAGTTTTATGCAATTAAATGTGTGTTTTCTCTCTCTCTTTCTCGCTTGTCTTTTGTGTTGGTTGCTGTTTTTATTACTGTTTCAATCCTTTTTCAATATTAATTTACACACGTTTTAATTGATAATATTAAAGTACTGAAGTTAAAGTTGTGAAAATGGGATGTGAAAATCTTTTTATTCCAAATACAATTTATTAATGTTGCAATTCTCAATATGACAACATTTTTAATTGTATTGACACAACAGTTAAAATACAATTTACATACAAAACGGAAACCGGAAATTGCTTGATTTTTTAACACAGGCAACGTTATGGTTTTCTGGTTTTCATACAACTTGTTGTTATTTGGCCAATTTTTTATATGAAACTTTTATTTCAATTTCAATCCTTTTTGTATATGACAAAAAAAAACAAAAAAAAAAACCAACCATGCAATCAAAACCGCAAATAAGTGAGGCTAGTGAGGCTGGTGAGGCTAGTGAGCCGAGTGGGCCAGTGAGTTGAGTGAGGCCTATATGCGGTGTGCAACGCTCTTAACGGACTTCACTGTCAGACCAGCGACGCACATGTACGCACTTCACGGACAAGTGCAAAAGGTGTGACAAAAAATGTACATGCAACGTACTTAAAAACGCTTGAAATGCAATTAATTTTGTTTATAAAATTTAATTTATTTATTTTCTATCTATTTTTTTTTCTTTTGTTTTTATACTTGCCAACGACAACAGAGTAATTAATTATTACAGAGTACTGTTATGTGTAGTGCAGTTGGCTTAAGCTGTTTTGTGTGTGAACGTGAGTTTATTATTTATTTTACGCGTAATTGATAAGATTTATTTTTCACTTTTATTTTTTTTTTTGTGTATATTTTTTTTCTTTGCTTCACGATGAACTCAAAAGTTCCGTTGTTTTTTCTTTTTTTGTTTTCAAATTACCAGTTTTAAGTAAATATCTCTACGTCATATGATTTTGTTTATTAACGGGAAAGGTAGGGTGCATTAGTTGTTTATATCAACTCACAAATAAATGTGAAATAAAAGCTTTGATAACTGTTTTAAGAAGTTTACAGTTTACAGTTTACAGTAAGTCAAGTGTCAAGTGTGATTCACTTGACAATTAATTAAAGTCACTAGCTTTTAGTAGGAATGAATCTTTCATTTGCCACGAAATAATATTTTCTTTATTCCAGCTTCCTTTCAGTGTCAATGCCAAAAACACAATATATAGCCAGACATTATATTGCACAGACACAGTCGCACTATGTCACCAACCGGATATTTAAAATGACTTCCGTTTATAAGTAAAGCAAAACTGTCTACTGGGTGCAGCAGCCGATTTTTCCGTTGATGACAACAATTTCTGCTAATTTTATTAATATTGTTATGTGTTTTTTTTTAAATTCAATTGATTAAGTTTAATTATAAATATATATTAAAACCGCAGTACTTTTCAAAATCATTTGGTTATATTTTCAGTGAACTTTTCACACACGCGTTATTGAAACGTTTAAAGTAATCTCCGCTTATACGTCCATTACACACGACAATCGCTCGCAAACTGCTCGACTACTAAATTTCCACGAATTTTGCATGCGCTTTGATTCGCTTTAGAACTTCGAAGCAGTAAAATAGTAAACCAGTAAAGCAGCAAAGCAGCAAAGCAGTCAACACAATCATCAGGCTGCCAAAGCATATTCCTCCTTGCTTTTCTGCTTGTGCGTTTGTTTGTGTGCCAACCTTACGCACTCTCACTAACAACAAAACAGCATTCGTTTCCTTGTTACTTAGACATTACTCTCTTTCTCTCACTCTCTTTGTGTTTCAAATTTATTTTCCAATATAGTTAAGTGGAAACTTCATTATTAACTTCATCAATCGGTAATTGTGTTTCGCCTATGTAGCGAAACACTGTTGTCTGTTGTCCGTTGTCAGTAGAAAGCTAAAATAGGATGCTCTTATCAATGTTGCCGGCTGCTTGGAAATTGTTGTGGTGTAAAATAACTTTTTGTTTTTATAATAGTGCGCTCTTCTTATACTACTCTCTCATTCGTCACACTCTTTAATGGTGTTTGATTAATGTTCTATAATTTCTCTTCGATTTGCTAAAGTTATGAATGAAGTTATTTTGGCGTAGTAAAATTAAAATATTTGTTTATAATATTTTATCCTCTCTTACGGGTTGTGTACTTGGATTTTATTTGAAAATATTTGCATTCAAAATAATAAATTCATTATAAATAAAAAAAACTTAATTATCCGATAAATAATTATATTCATTCTTTATCAATAAATATATTTGGAATAAAAACATATTTAATAGTGAGGAATATTTTAAATTCAAAACCAAACGTCGATCATCAACGGTCTTTGGAAAAAATGTATTGATTTTCTTATACTTAAATAATTCATAACATTATTTTAATTAATTTTGCGGTCTAATTTATTTATAACAAATTTTCGAAAGCAAGATTTATTAAATATATCTGATCTTGCAATGATCTGTAAGCAATGACAAAATTCAAGTTAGACATACTTAGGTGAAGTTAGAACAGATTATACCGGCCTAAGGATATGTATAAAATCCTAAGGATCCACTAATATTTATTAAACAATTGTGTGACAAATTTCTAGGTTGTTTCTAAACTTAAACCCATTGTAAAGTTTATAATGTCCTTTGATGATGGTTCTACAGTTGGTCAAGATCCTCAAAGCATGTCGGGTGCCTTTAAATCGACATCAAATTTCTTGTCAAGATTGAGAATAGAAGAGGTGTAGTCCATATTTTAAAAAACGGAACTGAAAAAATGGAGAATGGATCCGTAGTCGTAGTTTTTACCATTCTACTGTGAAGTAGCTTAAGTGTAAGAGCAGATCAAGTGATTGATAATGTCATTCTCAATGAACTATTAATACAATCTGGAGTTATACACTGCACGCTGTCGAGTAATATACACTACGAAGATATGTCTAAGACCGTCCACCATACTGATAATATACAAAGCATAGATCTCATGATAGTAACAGTGTTTTTTAGCGTGGATACCTGCATTGATGGCTTACGACCTCTGTATGATGCAAGGCCTACCTCTGCTGAATATGCAAATCCACGTCGAATTAATGACAAACAAATACCTGATCATTGTGGTGACATAGTGGTGTAGTAGGAAAGCTTACTAAACCACTGAACACTTCCCTCTTCGTCATTGCAGCTACATGGTTGTACACATTTTCATCGGTAGTTCCGACGACGCGATCTACCTTTAAGTTTTTTTTTTCCAACTATCACTTTAAATAGCTGTTTTACTGAAGCATCGTCGTCCATTCTCACGACATCTAAGCCAAGCGTATCCGTTAGATGTTAATTCATTGAATTATATCAATTCCGCCTTCGCCAACTTGTAGAGGAACAAAGATCTCACGAAGAACTTTTCTCTCGAAAACTCCCACAGCAGCTTCATCATGTAGTGATTGAATTCACGTTTCTGCGCCATACTTTAGCCTATTGGGAGAGCTCTACATTGACAAATATTATTTTTCGTGTGATCTCCAGGCTGATATCATTGTTTGTATGAATGTAAAATTAAATTATCAAATTTTCTCAACACTATTAATCTAATCTTTTGTAAGAAAAAGAACGAGACTGAAAACTCTTTATATAAGTTTTCGGGGTACTGATATATAAACAATAAAAATACCTAGATGAGCATCCGATATTGAATGAAGAAGCAAAACTTTGTAGTTAAGAAGGTTTCAATACTATAATTTATAGAGGAATTTATATATTCCCTTTACCTAGTATTGATAATTGATTGATTATTCCTAGAAGTTTTGAATCTTTTTATGAAGTCAAAGTAAAATTTATGGGCTATTAACTATACCAGAAATCTTCTGTTAAATTCGATCACATCAAGGTATTTAGTGCATTTTTTATTTATTTTTGTTACTATAGACGCGTTATACAAATCAATTACACGAATTTTAAAATTAAACCTATGTATTGTGTTATTATTGTGCATTCATTAGAATTCTAGAAAAGTCGAAAAAAATAAAATCTGGATACTCGAGAACTATTCACTTCAGATGAAATTTAATTAATTATGCACACCATGAAGGTAAAATATCATTCAATCAAATTAATCATTTGAAAAATTTTTCTTAATTATTAGGCATGAGTACACCAACCGAGATGTCATTCAATGGAGTACCAGGCGCTCAAGTGGCTCATATTAAAAATTAAACATAAATCACACATAAATGCAGCCTTTGAATAAATAATTGCAGTGAATGCAACCATTTGACATGGCCATAAACATCATTAAAACTAAACCCAATTAACGGCAAACAAAAATCTCCGAAGGATAAAAGGAATACCAAAACAATAGAAACGAAATTCGAATGGAATTTGAGGCCACCAATCGAACTACCAACTACCCCGAAATTGCACATGTGGCTCGAGTACCGAGTCG